ACTCAAAAGGGAAGGATGAAGTTGAAAGTTGGTGTGGTAAAGCTGTAATCAATCAGGGAATCTAATGAGAAGTGGTGGGGGGGAATAGGATCATTTTAATGTCTGTGCCTTAGAGGGATTAGCAACGACAATATGGGCACAGGAGTGTCCTAAGAGGAGGAAGTTCACAGTGATCTTGATGAAAGGTAATTAAATTGGGTGTGTAGACAGGCAAGGGCTTTATAGTTGGGCAAAGTCAGTGGCAGAACCAGGAATATAAGCCAGGTCTCCTGGCTCCCTATTAAGTGCCCTAGTTTCTGGAAGAGTGTAATTCTGGCTTTCTCTGTAAAGATGTTTTATAGCTTGCTCTATAACAATGGTTTCCTTCTAAAACCTCTTTGTGCATGTAGTGCAGTGTCAACAGTGGCTAGGAGCCAAAAGCCTTGTCCTTGGAATCTGAATGTATGCCCTGGTGGCATGAATTTTGCAGAATTGAAATTGCTGAGCCAAAGCTGTGAGATAAAATACAGTGGAGAGGGGAGTGGAAGAGAAGTGATCCGGTTCCCCCTGTCCTTAGCTAACCCAGGGATGAATCACGGTGAAAACAAATCAGGCTTGAGCAACTATGCAATGATAGAAACCAGTACTGCCAGTGCAAACAAAGCCATCTGCCCTCTTTACCAGAAGGCCTGGGCAACACCAGCTACTTTGCAAAGCTGCTTCTGTAGTGGTTTGTGTTGCCCTGCAGGATGGCACAGCCCATTTTCTCTGAACAGCTCCTTTTTGCCAAAAACACTCACTAGTTCTCCCCTACTCCCCCATTAACCCTTCCCAGTCCATAGCATGGGCAACTGGTGCCACCTGAGCCTAGGGGGACAGCAGTGGCTGATCACTGACCGGTGCAGGGTTGGGGTCCCACAGCTGCTGATTGCCGACCTGTGGCGTACTGCCGATCCCAGAAGCATTGGCAGCAAAACCAGAAGCACCAGTGGCAAAAACAGAAGTGCTTCTGGAGCTTCTTTTGGCACCCCCAATCCCTGGCTGGTAACAGCCAATCTCGGGGGGGGGGGGCACGTGCCCCCCTCCCCATGCCCTCCCTACACATTGCCTAATGTCCATAGTATGTGAAAGGCTGTAAATGCAGCACCCCTCCTACTTTTCATTCACCCTTCAGCATAAGGCAAGTATTTCACAGGGTGATATCTTTTATTGGATCAACCATGTTGTTGGGATACAGTTAGACAAGCTTTCAAATATAAGGCACTTTTCCTTAGATCTCAGATCATAGGAAGTGAGGCACAGCAAATGAAGCATAGCATAGAGGGGCAGGGAAAAATTCTCAGGGGTACTAGATACACCGTGAGCAGAAGAAAAGCTCGGAGATCAAGGCCTGTCAAAATGGGGAACAGTCTGTGTGTGGTGGGAGGGTTACTTCACCCTTCAGTAGTGTAAGAATGATAATGTAGCTGTGATGGTTCAGGCATGATGCAGGAGGCAGGGATTTCTTAGCGGGATATCCTTTATTGGACTGTGTCTTTGGGATATACAGTTAGACAAGCTTCCCAATGTAAAACATTCTTCCTCAGGTCTCTCATCACCCTAAGAAATCCTTCACCCTTCAGTGGAGCTGGGCCTCGACTCTGCTCAGTTAATTTTATGATGGAAACCTCTCTCTAAACCACTGCCTCTCCACCCCTTTTTATTTTTAGACTTGAGACCCCCCCACTTAGTTCTCCTTTGTCTTTTTGAATGTAGGAAACAAGCAGAGCCATGTTTCTGTTGCAAAGGCCTTGGCCCATAGCAGAGGGGAGCAAGTTTGAATAGGGGTGATTCCCCCTCTGAACTCTCTGGGCTGGTCCCTCAAATCAGGGCTATGCACCTGGGATGTGGAGGCAGGCTGGGGGCCATGGAGGGCAAGAGAATCCCACCCCCGCAGAGCAATCTCCATGTAGGCAAATGGGTTCCCCCAAAAGCCGCCACATGCAGAGGGTGGGGGAAGCCTCAGGGCTGGGGGCACCACTGTTGCCAGGTCTTAAAAAATGAAATTATCATATTGGAAGCTCAAAATGATCATATTTGCTGAAAAACTACTGTACACTGAAAAAAAATGTGCAAATAAGTTGTCTTATTTACTGGATATTACTCACTATACTTGCTAGTGAGCGAGTGAGAACCAGGTCCTCAAATTTGAAGCATTTCCTTATTTTGAGGCAAGCCATCATGAGAAAGTGCCGACAGCAACCCCCCAAAGCCAGTTAAGACTCCCTGAGAGTGACTTTGCATCAATGAATTGCTTCAGAAATTAGCCAACGTTTCGAAGGTCTGTTGGTCTACGGACATAGGCGAAGCTCTTTGAGTAAATCCGGTATCTTTTATTAGACGCTTTTCCTGTTATGGATCCGACATGGTGCAAGGGTTGAAACGATGGCACAACTTCGGTGACGACAGTACAACTGGCGACACTGCGGGACTCCCCTCTCCGCGCCCACCCCCCTGCAACTCATAAACTGCACCCCGCGAGAGCACGCTGGGAAATGCAGTTCGCAGCGCGGGGGGGGGATTGCCTCTGACTCCGCCCTCTTCCCTCGTCCGCGGCAGGGAAACTACCCCTCCCGGCATGCCGTGCGCGGCGTGTGACGCCACCGAAGCCCGCCCCCTCCCCGTGCGCGGCCGTTGCCGCGGCGCTTTCCCGCTGCCGGTGTTGGGGGCAGCTGCGGTCCTTCACTGCCGCCCCCCACAAGCGGCTCGAGCCGGGCGGGGGCTGCCTCCCCCTTCCCCCCGCGCCCGGGGTGATGCCGCCGCCCGCTGCCGCTCCCTGAGGGCTCCCGGCTGCCAGGATGTGGCAGAGCATCGGCCTTACGCTGCTGGTCATCGTGGCCACGCTGGCCTGCGTGTTGCTCTTCATGCTGTGCGGTGAGTCCCCCCCCGCCCCATACGCCTGCTCCTGTCGCGGGGTAAACCCCGCGGTGTGTCTGCTCCTATCGCGGGGTAACCGCCCCCCTCCCCCATGCGCCCGCTCCTGTCTCGGGGTAACAGCGCCCTGCGGCCCCCACGAGCTGTAGCAGGGGCTGCAACAGGTGGAGAGAGGGGAGAGCTCCAGGGGTGGGCGTGGCGGTGGGGGGAGGGGGTGCTTCAGTCCCTCCAGGAACTGTCAGGATCAGGGCTCCTCCACAGCCCCTGCCTGCACCATGTCCAGATCTGGGTTGGGCTGTACATCCC